GTGCACTTCTGAGAAACCTCATCCAACATATTTGTAACCAATTTACCTGCTCTCCATTAGTGTTTTTTCTTATCTGTAATATGACACGTAATATAAAAAAATGTGAAATAGCAGACTACTGATCGTCAATCATTTGCTAAGCCACCTACCTCTTTTAATTGAACTTACATCACTTTCATGGTCGATGATTATGCAATTTCATTTACTGACCAATTGTAAATTGTAAAAAACATGGGAATTTTTTAAGAAATTAAACATGGACTAGTTATACATAAAAAATTTACATTAAATTAAGCATGAATTACGTAATATCTCATTTTTTTCAAAAATGGACTGACACCACTTTCTAAATAAACGGTTCATATAGTCCAAACAACATTTACTAGTTAATATAATTTGTGAAATTAACAAAAGAATGGGAAAAGTGGGTAAAGGTATAGAAGCAATTAGTATTTGTACGATTCTTATGGCGAACCATTTACAGTAGAGTTTGTAACGTAAACATATTAGTTTGTTGCTCCGTACGAATTAGAAAACATCAAATTACCAGGAAAGTGCTTTTAAAAATGGCTCTAATTGGAAAATTGAAGAAGATCTTACTTCTAATAACTAATAATTTAGTTAATTTAACGCTTAGAAGAGTTGCAGAATTATACAATCAAAAGGAAATCCCACGAAGGAAATATTACATACTTATAAATTAATGTAAATTTCTTCTTTTTTAATCAAGTTTTAAAAATTAAACAGTTGTGCGAATACTTATTGCTTCAATATTTCTATCGTTCAATTCTTTTTTTTTCCTGTTAATTTCGTAACTCACATAAATAGCTATCTTCTTTGCACTCTATCTATCCTATGGATTTCCGAGAATATATAGAATGTTACTGTTTATACAAAATAAGTTAATAAATTACAATATTACATAGTTTTTTTGGAAATTGATCGAGTACGAATACTTTCTACACCCACTGTATGTAAATAGATTGATTTACAAAGATAAAGCGTGGCCAACGACGTTGAACAAAAATTGATAGATTCGAATGACAGCCGCGTTGCGATGATCTAAATTCCATGTGGATCTCGCGTTTAACATTGGCGACACGCATCCTCTTGGCGCGAGGGTGCATCGATGTTTGCCCCACCTAATTGCGGAGAAACGAGCTTGGCGCGAACCGCGCTGGCAACATGCGGTTGCCAATTGCTCAGCTATTCCATCCGCGACGCTAGTCGTTTCCGTTCCGACGGGAAGTAATATGAATTCATCGAATAGCCATCGATACTCCGTTTGTTGGAGGCATTTCAATGTAAAACGCTCCCGGTGCAGGTGTTCGGCATTATTCGAGACGAAATAGGACACAGGAACACCATTTAGTTTATCAAAATGTCCTCAGTCATAGGAATTATTTCTGTATCTTTACATTCATTTTGTTGCGTTCAATTATCAGCGTTCAGTCTTTGTTAGACTTACAAACGGTCAATATTCAATGTTACATCATATATCAATGTTGGGTGCTGACCATTTCTTGAACTTTTTTTAATTATTAATTCATGAAGGTACAAACGAAACTATTGGTGCTACAATCAAATACAAACGAAATACTATTATTTTTCTATAAAAAAAAATTAATTTTTTAAAAGTCGGGTGCCAGGTTCACATACCTGTAACAGTATGGAGGAATTATTAGCCTAGCTCGGCATATGGAACTGTAGAAAATTCTTTATTAAAGTCTGTTTCTAAATACCCCGATAGATAAAGTATTAACTCTCCATCACTTTACAAAATCGTGCATACAAAATCAGAATGATACCGTAACGCAACGAGCGAGAGTGGGACCGTTAATTATCCGCAATTAGAATTAATTATGCTTACTCGTCTGTCATCCCTTGGCGTCTTTGGACCCAACTCTGAGAACGACACTGTTCTCAGACAATTTGTCGGATGCGTGGAGATTGCATTTCGAGTACTTTCAAGAATGTCCTCGTTGCACGCCTCGTTATTTACACTCTTCCCTTCTCCCGTTAACGATCCCACGCCTTCCAGGAGGCTTGGAAAATACGGCGAATTCGTAGAAAGTGCTCGAGAACAATTTGCATGCGTACGTACTCTTTGACTCCTCGCACTTCGGCTATGGGTCTAACTTTTTCACAGTCGAAACTTTCCTACCACCGTGTATACAGGGTGTCCCAAAAATGTTGGAGGTCCTTGAAAAGGGTGGTTCAGGGGGTGATTTGAAACAACTTTTTCCTTAGCAAAATTGTTGTCCGAGGCTTCGTTGAGGAGATATTAACGGAAAACACTGACCAATCAGAGCGCGCGTATACTGTTGGAGCGGCCGCGATAGCGATGGCTACGCGCTAGGTAGCTGTTCTCATACGCGAACAAGTGACTCGACGTACAATCGAAGGATATTGACGCGGCCACTCAGCGCGTAGTCTTCGCTACCGCGGCCGCTCCAACAGTATCCGCGCGCTCTGATTGGTCGGGTTTTTAAATTAATATTTACTTAACGAAGTATCATCCGACATTTTTGCAAAGGAAAAAGTTGTTTCAAATCACCTCCCGAACCACCCCTTTCAAGGACCTCCAACATTTTTGGGACACCCTGTATTCTAGTCGCGATTAGAAACTGACGATGGCGGTTGAATTATGATGTTTGGCTTGTTGTGTGGAGACCTATCGCGTTACGAAATATCAGGTGTAAAAACAATTATTTGGAGATTATTTGATTCTGGTATACTTTCTAATTTTGATCGAACGATCTTTGTGTATGATATCTAATACTACACGTTAGTAGTTTTTGAATCACACTTTCTAAGTATCTACTATTAATTATTCAGTTCCTTGCAATGCGCGGACGCCTGCAACTCTGCAACACATCTATAGTTGCGTCAGGCGAGTTGCATACCTACAGTCGATCGACCACCATAATCGTCTAGTTTAAATACTTTAAATAAATGTAAGGAAAATGAATATGTAACGGTCTTCTAAACGAGGAACTTTTAAAAGGATGGAGAAATTAAAAAAGATATCCACCCTGTATATTATTAGTTTGTCTCTGGAAAGTCCATGCCGATTTTTGGTAGGTGGTACACGTCTGTTTATAGTGAAATAGTTGAAAACAATTAACATGGGTGCATCCCTTAAAACGTGGAAAGGTCGTGTAACAAAATGGTACTTATATAACTCTTTTTTTTTTTATTTACTTATATAACTCAATAAATATATATCAAAATTCAAATGTGCCTTTGAATTTGTCTTAAACATTGGCACGAACTTTCTGGACAGCCCGATAGAAGAAGTTAATATTTGTTTATTGATGTCGATTTCAAGGTGTTTTCCGCTCCCCAGGTTACCGTGCAATGGCAAACAGTAAAGCCACCGGTTCGGCGGTTGGCAGCTGTGTTTTGGCACGTGATCGTTTCCAACGGTTGCGACGCGCCATGTGTGACCCTTGTACGCACCCTTAGTATGTTTGCAAACGTGTTTGCGTGAAGTATTTCAGTGCCGTTCGAGAAACTATCGGAACATGGGTTTGAAACTGCGTCGTTTCTTCTTGAGATTCTGGTGAGTCGCTATTTTTCGTTTATATTAAATGTCCGGCGAGCTTAATTTTGGTTCAAGAATAAGCAATTAGTCTTGAGTCACATAGTAAGTTACACAGTTAAGCTAAATAGAATCACAGAGTCAGTATATATAGAGCAGGGAAGACAGTCTGTAAGTGGAATCTTAGAGGAAAATGTCACTAATGTAGAATATAAGATAGACATGTTTTTGTTATTTTCTATTATAGGAAAATGTTATTTTGAATATAGTGAATGCAAAGTGAAAATCTATTCATGAGGAATGGGTCAGATGTACAGGGTGTCACAAAATTATATGTCCCGGTCACCACAGCGTGATTGTACACCTACGATTTAGTGGAAATTGACATAAAAAACTCCACGCAAAATTGACCTCGAACTTAAAAATCAAGATCAATTAAACAAATTTTGTTGTTGTTTTATCGTGTTTTACTGGTCATAACGATTAACTTTGTGAAAGAAACCATAGGTCCAATCTCAACCGTTATCTTAAAAAATGATATTGTATTTCTTATCATTTTTGCAGCTTCATTACTTGTAAATAAGACCGATAAAAGACTTCAAAAAAGTAAAAAAATTACGCCAAGTACATGAAAAAGTGGAGGACTCAAGGTGTTATCATTGAAAAATAGAAGATTCCCATAAAAAACTACAAGAAAATAGAAAAAAATGTGAAATCGACATAAGCTGTCAGATGATTTGCCTAGATTTCCGCGGCCTAGAAGTCAAATGCTTGGGGTGGCCAGGCAAGGCATTCTTAGATCATCAATACTCATACTTTCTCACTCACAGACATTTAGGTCATTTGTCAATTTAAAACTCTGACGATATTATGAGTACTCTTTCATTGTTTTGCGTTTTAAAATAATTCTTATTCATCGACACCTTGACCTTGCCTGGCCACGCCAAGCATTTGACTTCCAGGCTGCGGAAATCTAGACAAATCACCTGGCAGCTTATTTTGATATCACATCTTTTTCTATTTTCTTGTAGTTTTTTATGGGTATCTTCAATTTTTCAATGATAACTCCTTGAGTTCTCCACTTTTTCATGTACTTGGCGTAATTTTTTTATTTTTTTGAAGTTTTTTATAGGGATCTCACTTCTTTTTACAAATAATTTATTATATAGAATATATTTTAAATTTATAAAAATAAAATTGATATTTCTGTAAACTCTACATAAGAAGTCTAAATTATCATTTGTTTCTTTAATTGAATAGAGTATAAATAAAGGGAGAGGGGATAACAAAAACGAATATATATATATATATTTCATATAATTTATTAAGTGTAAACTCTTATTCGTTCAATTTATAAAAAATTATATATACCTACAATTTTTTTCCTTGCTGCAAGAAATTTTAATGTTAAAATAACTCCAAATAATTTTAATGTGAAAATGACTCCATTTCTATAAACTCCGCATAAAAAGTCTAAATTCAAAACACTTTGGTGGTATGGATCTATATTAAAAACAGTTTTCTGTATGAATAAAGGTATCTCGCAATTCAGATTTTGACAACTTACCTTGTAGTCAAGATCGATCAACACTTTACAATTCTGGCTGCAATTTTAAACTCTACGTATAGAGCTAGTGCATATTCATATAAATTAACTAGATATTATTTAATACTTTTCACTGTACCTTTTTTTAAGTCGGTTAAATTTTTTTTCCAAAAAATTATTTTATTTCACTCTTTTTAGTGGCAATCTATAACCGATAGGTTTCATGCAATAACAACAGTTATCAGCAATATACAGGATGACCCAAAAACGTTGGATGTCCTTGAAAAGACTTGTTCCGCGGGGGAGGGGGGGTTGAAACAATTTTTCCTTAGCGAAAATGTTGCTTCGTTAAGGAGATATTCCAGAAACAGAAACTCCCGACCAATCAGAGCGCGAGTATGCCGGTGCAGCGTCTGCGAAGCCTGCGTTACCGCAGGCGCTCCACCGGCATACTCACGCTCTGATCGGTCGGACGTTTCTGTCAATATCTCCTTAACGAAGCCTGGAACAACATTTTCCCTAAGAAAAAATTGTTTCAAATCACCCCCTCCAAAACACCCACTTCAAGAACATCCAACATTTTTGGGACACTCTGTATTGTTGCAAATGGGATTATCAGGAATACATATGAAAGGATTGATTGGGTTTGGTAAATTCCTTATTGAGCTACACCAGAGCGTAGCAATTTTGCACCAACAATGGTTTTATAATCAATAAAAGTGTCCATAAATTTTTGCAAATTGGAACATCACGAATTCATCTATCATGAAACGCGGAAGGTTCCATCGCGCTCGGTAATTTCCTCACCGAGTTACATCATATAATAGGAATTTTGTGATAACAATAGTTACAAACAATACAGAAATTCATAAATTTTTGCATCTGTGATCATTGCGAAAACCTCTCCGGCAGCAAAATGTAAGGGGTTTCATCGATTTCATCGGTTTCAGGCCAAACATACGTGAAATAGTACGCTTTTTGCGATAAAAAGTGATATAAAGTGGTAAAAAATAAGACAAGGACAAATGTTTTGCTATGGGACCAAATGGCAAATGCTCTTCCAGATGCAAGGAGTTTGAATCCGATTGGTCCATCCGTCTCGGAGTAAGAAACAAGACAAAATGTTTCTGTTTAAAAAAAAGAAAACAGGTAAAAAATGACAAATCACAAAATGTTTCTTTTACGCGACCAACTGGAAGAAATATTCGACAAGATGCAAGAGGTTTCACTTCGATTCATCAAGCCATCTCGGCGTAATCGGTGAACATACCTAAAAAAAAAAGTCGAATTGAGTAAACTCCTCCTTTTCGAAGTCGGTTAAAAATCATGCTAGCCTAATCGCCCTGTCCTCGTCTCTCCTGCAATTGTTGTATCGCCCCCTCTGTCCTTGTCCCGGAGTTTCCTACTTTTTCCGTGACTGTCGCTGAAGTCAATTCGGAATTCTGTTCTGGCTCATCAATTCGACATGTATATTTTTTTTTAAGGTATATTCACCGATTAAGCCGAGATGGCTTGACCAATCGAAATGAAACCTGTTGCATCTTGTAAAGCATGTCCCCCTGGTGGTCCCTATCAACAATTTTTTCGATTTGTCATTTTTTACCCGGATTTTAAGCAAAAAAACAGAAAAATGTTACTTCGAGACGGATGAACCAATCGGATTGAAACTTCTTGCATTTGAAAGAACATTTGCCATTTGGTACCATAACAAAACATTTGTCCTTATTTTGTTTTTTACCACTTTATACCACTTTTTATCGCAAAAAGCGTACTATTTCACGTATGTATAGCCTAAAATCGATGAAACCCCTTACATTTTGCTGCCGGAGAGGTTTTCGCAATGATCACAGTTCCAAAAGTTTATGAATTTCTGTATTGTTTATAACTATTGTTATCGCAAAATTCCTATTATATGATGTAACTTGACGAGGGATATACTGATCGATATGTAACTTTCTACCTTTAATGACAGCTGATTTTATGCTTTTCGAATTTGCATAGATTTATGAACTTTTTTATATGTTTACAACTATTGTTATTGCAAAGTTCTTATTCTTTGATGTAACTCGATGAGGAAATTACCGAGCGCGATGGAACCTTGCACATATAATGTCAGATGATTTAATAATGCCACCATTTAGAAAAGTTACGAATGTCTGAATGTTTATAACAATTGTTACTACAAAATTCGTATTATTTGATGAAACTCTGCAAGGAATTAACCAATCGAGATGGAACCTTCTACATATAATGACACCTGGTTCTCGTTTGCTGTTCCCATTTGGAAACATTTTTGAATTTTTTAACGTTTATAACAATTGTTTTTAACAAATTCGTAAATAATGCCTCATTTTCCGCGCCTCCCCTCCCCTTAAAGGCGGCAATTTTTGTCGCTGCTCCTCGAAGACACCCGAACCATCACTCGAGTAAGTCGCGCACGAATTTGAACGAAAATGTCCGACGGTTCCCCCACCACAACCGTTACCTGCTCGTTAGTCGCAGCTGGTCGCGGTTCGGCAGTCTTCGAGAGAACGTCGTGTGGAATGGTATTATCTAGTACGTGTTGCTTTTGCGCGTTTGATTCCATCGGTTTCGCGACAGAGAATGCATTTAATCGATGCGAACAGTTGACACGGTTCATGAATACTTGTAAGAACGAAAAGTGACGGTGTGAAGTGGAAAATTTGTGAAACCGGTGACTGAAAAAGTGGTGCACGTTGAGAAATTGGCATAGGACACCTGGTAATTAGGATGAAAACGTGGATTTAATTTACGAGGTAAATTTATAGATTTTCTTAAAAGCGTAGTGTTACTTAGAATATTAATTAATGTGAAAGTACTGCACCGAAGTTGAAACTTTATTTTTAAAGAAATTCTGTATATAAAATTTTCCAATGTTTACCTTTTGGAATTTATTGACTTCGTTGCTGGCTGTCTGCTTATAATTTGAGGAAACAGAGGTATAAGGTAAACAAGGCTTTTGATATATCCAGTGTGTAGAAATAACGATAGGCGAGTTTTGAACAGAAAAATAATTGCAAATTCAATTTTTAGAATTTTTTCAAATTGTGTAGCAGTAAAGAAACTTTAATGAAATAGAGTATTGAGCTGCCCAGAAAGTTCGTGCCAATGTTTAAGACAAATTCAAAGGCACATTTGAATTTTGATATATATTTGTTGAGTTATATAAGTACCATTTTGTTACACGACCTTTCCACCTTTTGAGGGATGCACCCATGTTAATTGTTTTCAACCATTTCACTATAAACAGACGTGTAACACCTACCAAAAATCGGCATGGACTTTCCAGACAAACTAATACTTGTTACTTTGTTGACATTCGATTCTTAAAGTCTATGAGTCATACAGAGATAAGAGTTCTGCCATATTATCGCACCCAAATGTATAAATAACTCAATGTTACGTCTACTTATGCAAAGTGCAAGCATTCAAGTATTAATATTTAGTTGGTAGG